CAGGAAACGCCTGAATCATGCTTCAGGTTTGGTCCTACAGCAACATGCGCCTCAGGCAGGACGGAGTCGTACGTACGGTTGCTGATATAAACCCTGCATTACCTCAAACCCTATAGATTATGGGAACTACATGGTATGTTCCAAGTTATGGGTAATGCAGGGTTTATATCATCAACCGTCGGATTCTAGCCTTTGCTTATCGGAATCTCTTCCGGACTCTATGCCTTTTCGGGCAGCCCCAAAGCTTAGGCGTACTTAGAAATAGTTTTTAATTTTTGGTTATTATAATCCCTAAGAAACAGCTAAATTATAATTTTTGCTAGAAACCATGAGCCTTGAACCCCAGCCGGCGAGCCGGTATATGCGCAGCAACGCACTATCAGTCGAAGCCTTGAAACACTTTGTGCACCCTAAACCCTACCTATAGTCTCAACTGCAATTCCTTTTTTTGGTTTAACCAACTATATATCAGGGATCCTATGATATCTGGTGGCCCAAAAAAGGAACTACAATGGAGACTATAGGTACCCGAACCCTCCTGAGCTCTAGATCCGAAACCCTCCTAAACCCTAGGCTCTAAACCTTTTGTCGACAAACCAGCTTTACCACGCGCCCAGCAGACAACTGCTTTCGGACTCAACTGCGAGGAGGATTGAAAGGGGCCGTCAAAAAAAAAAAAGACCTTTTGTCGAGCAGCTCCCCCTGCCCAAGTGGCTCTTTTGCCCTAAGGGTGCATGTACCCAAACAGTACGTACATTGGCCTTAAAGCAGACCCTACTCAGGTACATTGGGGCCCAAGTATAATATGATTTGGGCACATGGACCCTTCAACTATAGAACCTCTGGATCCTTTATAGAACCCTTAAATTAAAGTACCCTTAAAGGAACCCCTATTTCAGCACATGAACCCTTCGGGATGGGGAAGCCAGGCACGACAGCCTTTTCCAAGCCGTCGCCAAGGAGACCTGCGCCGCGGCTGATTACATATTCTGGGCTTTGGAGTACCATACTTTAATATTTGTTTTGCTTAAAGGAAGCCTTATGAAGCAAAAGTTTATGCTTTTTTCTCCCTGGTTACTTAAAAGCCCAGGATTACATATTAATGACTGCGGTTTAATGGTATTGGCAGTAGCAGTAGTAGTCAGGTGTAGTAGTAGTAGTAGTAGTAGTAGTAGTAGTAGTAGTAGTAGTAGTAGTAGTAGTAGTAGTAGTAGTAGTAGTAGTGAGTAGCAGCAGCAGCAGCAGTAGTAGTAATTATTACATTTATTGGGTTTGTAGGCATATAGCTGCTATCATCTGAGTTTCTCTGGTTCTCCCTGTCTCAATACCCAGGGCTGGTGGGTCATGGGCAGATACTTCGCATCGCACCTAAGGCACCCGGGTTCCGTCGAGAACGGCTTGCCCGAATCCCTAAACTCTTGAGCCTCGAACCCGGGAACACTAAACCCGCAAAAACCTACCTGTTTCGGGATCCTTAATATTGAGTTCCTGATAAAAATCCTTAAAAAAGGGAGGTTATTCGTAAGACCCCCGAAAGTAGGCAAAAGCATGGCCCAAATAACGCCTTTAAGCCTCAAGCCCTTTTTCTGCTATCGGGCTCAGCCATGATGCTGCCTGAAGCCCATACAGCAGAAATTAGTCTGCCTTAGTTTGAAGGAAAATTCAAAGGATGAGAAAGTTGAACAAGGTCACAATCCACAGAAGACCGACCTGTGGCTTCTGCCCAGACAGTAGAACTCTAGGAGGTGGGAACTTGTGTACATAATTTCAAGATTGTTCGTAAGCCCCTCTCGGGATATCTATCAGAAACTGTCTTTGGGTGCCCCTAGACAGACCCAAAGCCCTAAACCCTGAGTCCTTGGACCCTCCAAGGAGCCTCAGCAAAGCAAATGCCTTTATGTACCCTATGCCCTAGACTCTGAACTGCAGGTGCCCGCATCGATGAGTTTGACCCGAAGGCTGTCATCTGACGGTTCTTAGGACGGACACTAGCTGCCAGCCCCGGAAGCGACGAGTCCACATATTGACCAGTAAGAAAAACAACAAGAGTAGGAATAGTAGCAGCAATGGTACTTTTAACTGTCAACAGTCACACACAAACTACTAACCATGACGGAAGAGGAATTCAAGACTGCCTGATGTTCCTAGGCTTGTTAAGGCTACGTTGGGCTGTAAACCCACCTCAGCGACAGCAGTGAGTGCAACGGCAGCAGCGATGCTATGTCGTAAGCCTCAAATTCTAAACACTATCGCTTGGATACTGTCCACCCTGTAACAGTTGTATAATATTCATAGTATGAGTATACTTAGCCCCTGAATATGACTCCCAATATCGACTGTCGCAGGGTGGGGGCAGTCCCCAAACTACTGCCCTCTACACATTAAACCCTGAATCCTAAACCCTAAACCTTAAACCCCTGAACCCTAAGCATCCCTAAACCCCTATTATCTAGGATGCCCAGTAGTACCCTTATTCCTTTTTTGTAGTCCTAGGTTCCTTATAAAGTTACCCAATACCAAAAAGAGAGGCCTTTTTATTCTTAGGTTACTGGGTATCCCAGCCTATTATGCCCCTGGAGCGAGGCCCTGGCAATGCTGACATCGTCTTTTGCGTCCATGCGCGTGAGACATGAAGTTCTCTTCGAGGCCAAGCATTTCGGGGTTTATAGCGCTGAAAGGGATTAGGGCAAAAAGGGTTTAGGCTTCGTAGAGTCTACAAGGTTTGGGCGGTTTAGGGTTTATGGGGGGGTAGGTCTAGGGTTTATAGGTAGGTTGAGGGTTTCTCGGGTTTAGGGTTTGTAGGGTTTTTGGCTCTATAGGGTTTAGGAGAAAGGCTTCTATAAGGGTTTCTGCAGATGGTCCATAGGGATCTGCGCGAAGTACTAGTCCTTGGGGTACTTCTAGTAATTATAAGTTCACCAAAATAATGCTATTCCTTAGGATTTCTTTTGCAACTATACCAAAGTAATGCTGTTCCTTAGGGTACAATATTGCAAGCATACTCGAGAACCCGCTCGAACTTCTCGTCGCTTGGAGGCCACCCACCCACCAGAAGTGTGCAGCTTAAGGATGCCAGAGGGTGATCCGCAGGGTTTCTACAGGGTTCTCCGAAACCCAAGGACAACTTCAGATACCCTAAACCCTAAACCCTACACACTAAACCCTAAACCCTAAACATCCCTAAACCCTATCCTCTCGGTCAAACCAAAGTCATCTTGAGAGGCAGTTCAGCGCGCCGCGGAAAAACGCCTTGACAGCTTTCAGGCCCGTGGGGAGCTTTCTGCAGGCACCACCCTAAATTGTAATGAAGTATACTTTTATGTAAGATGATATAACATAAACAGAACAAGATGTAACAGTATGTAACATAATATACTATGATAAACCACATCCCAAGCCCGACCCCTGCACCCTTTAAACCCTAAGCCGGAATTGTGCTAAATAGCGACCACGAAACCGTAAGGCCGAAATCCTAGGCCCGTGGTTCTCATGTTCCCAAATCGCCCCCACATTCCTCATAGTCCTTTGGGGTATAGTGGAGGGTAGTTGGAGCTGTCCAGGTATGGAGACCTGGAAAGGGTGCTCTGTCTGATGCTGCATTGTCTTCGGGACTGTCATCCCGTTGTTATATAGATGTACACTTACAGACTGCATACTCGTAGTTAGAGATGAAAGTTAGAACTACAGCTATAGAATCTCAGTTGTGTCCCAGCCGCCCTAAACCCAAGCGGTTCACCTGCGTTTGAACCCTACATCCTAACCCCGAAACACCAAATACTAAACTACTAAACCCCAAACCAGGTTTGGGCGGGGGTCTGACGGTGTAGGCCCAATTTGGCCAGCGATCGACACTCCTGGAGTCAAATCAGGTTCCTACATTATACCTGTTTATCTTTCCGCCTCGGGTCTCCCGCTGGAGTCCTGCAGTTGCCCGGCATGTCCTGCAAAGAAGGTCCATGTGCTCGCTTCCCAAACTTAGGGGTACCGTATTTGTGGGTCCTTATAATCAGGATCCTACTATTTAGTGTACCCCTGTTTTCTGAAACCCCCATGTAGAGGTAGTTCTCTAAAGAGGGCACCTTTCAGGGTCCATTGTTTTTTTTGACACAAGACGGGACCGTAATTCCAAGAACTGCCCATATATTATGGATTCAGGTCCCCTGAAACCATGATTTGAATCGTCGGCTAGGGCCGACTCATGTAGTGGTACTATTTGTGGACCCTTTGGGCATGTACCTCCATTGTAGTTCCTTTTTTTGGTTTAACCAGTTTTATATTAAGGATCCTAAAAGGTAATCCCAAAAAGAAACTACAATGGAGACTATAGGTAGAGGTCCTCAGTCATGAACCTCAGTGCGTGCCAATTGCTCGCATGTGTCACTCCTTTACAACTGTACCCAGGGGCCCCAAAGTAGTTCCTTTTTGGGTGTGTCCACTTTTTTGATTAGGGACTCGAATATACTACCCAAAAAGGAGCTATTTTGGGGCCCCTGGGTAAAATGAAGGTCTGAAATATAGGGGTAGCGAAAATCACTGGTTGTATCACCATGTAATCCCTTGTAAAACTTGTGCTAACATATGCCCCCATACCCTACATGAATAAGGCCCCGAGACTATTCTGCCCCTAGATTTATCTTGACCCGCTGCCTGTACAGGTGGGTACAGGTATACTTCTAGCACGATCTTTACCCATCAACTAAACCCTAAACCGGCCTAAACGCTTGTCGTTGGGGCTGTTTGATTCAGAGCCCGAGTTATTGCTTTCTGAGCTTTGCGGCGTTGCTCAGACCACTTGGGGTATAGGGTTTAGGGTTTAGACATATGACATTGAAACAAGATGAGCGGCAGTACGACTGAGTTGTCCATTGGCCACATTTGGGAGTTTCTGAAAATAGGGACCCCACTTTAGTACCCTAAATAGTAGGATCCTTATTACAAAGGACCCCCAAAATAAGGTACCCCTAATTTTCGGAAACTCCCATTTCCTGTCACGTCGGAACATGCAGAATGCATCTCACACTGCGATGGAGCCCTGTCTCGCCTTGGATTCGTGGATTTTGGATCCATATGAGAATGCGGGTCACTGGGTGGCACTTTGGGAAACTTGTTATCCCTTTATGGTTCCTATAGAGGTACTGGGCCCCCCCCCCGCCGCCCCTGCCCAAGCGACAGCTGAGGTCAACATGTAGGAAGCATTATCAGCTTCTGGTCAATGTCCCTTCTGATGCTCTTACACTTGGGAGCGGTTGCCAGAAGCATCAGGAAGGATGGGACAACACGTTGGGTCCCAGTGCTCCTCACGACATTTTTTTTCTGCAGCTTCGTTTCCGGTATTCTACAAGCGGTGGCCCACAGCTTCAGCACTGGCACTACAAAGACTCACCTTCTGCTGACGGCCCCTTAGTAGCTGAGTGAGTGCACTTTACACTTTCTTGGCAAAAATGGAGCGCCCCTTATAGAAGCGAAAGTGTACACTGTTTGAGATTCCTAAACCCTAAACCCCCAAACCCTAAATTATGAACTCAGCAACCCCTAAAGCCCTAAACCCCTAAACCCTAAACCTCTAAACCCTGAACCCCAAGCCCTTAAAAAACCTTAAAATGCGAACTCAGGCCCGGTTGTGGTTGGGTTTCGCTGCGGGAACCTGTCTCTTTCTGGGAACCAGCATGGGAGAAGCCCTGATGGCTGGCAAACGCGAACCTTTACTTCTCTTACGAGGTATGATTTTGGGTTTCCATATAGGGTAGTAGTAGGGTATTGGGATTAGGGCTTTAAGGCATTGGGGTTTATGATAGGGTTTAGTGGTTTAGGGTTTGTCAAAAGGGAAAAGGAGGGACCCTTAATGGGGACCCCTACCCTATCATGGGCTATAAATGGGTATATAATAGCTATATTAAGGGTATATACCCAGGGGTCCTTATTAAGTGTCCCTCCTTTTACCCATGGATTTACTTCTCTTACGAGTTATGATTTTGGGGGTTTCCGAACATTGGGGTTCCCTCTTTGGGGGTCCTTATAATAAGGATGCTACTATTTAGGATACTGGATTAGGGTCCCCTATTTTCGGAAACTCCCACTTCTCTTACGAATTATGATTTATGTTTTTTTGCATGATAACCTAAGGGGATTAGTAAGAAGTATTGCCAATTGCTGCTATTTTAGTTCCTTCCTGCCCCTACCCCTATACCCCTGCCCCCACCCCTTCCCCTACCCCTACCCCTACCCCAACGCCTACCCCTACCCCTAAGGGCGGCTAAGGAACTGGCAGCCATCCGATCTCTCAGCTGGGTCTTCTTCGTGTTCGGGACCGGCGCCTCGGTTTTTGCCCTGGCCCTGGCTTCAGATGCTAGGTAGGCCTTTGGGATATTTTTTATATGTTCCTGCTTAGTTGGACCCTATTTACGAATATTTTTCAGAGGCTTTAAAGGGCCAACCTAGGATGGCGATGACTTCGTGCAAGCCGGAGTGATGAGCGCAGCATTTCTCTGGGCAGACGCCTTTTGGATCGCAACTTGTCGCAAGATGCAACGAGAAGGTACCCTCCAAGAGAAAAGTATACTATTGCCAAAGCTTGGCGGTCCGATCCTCATGGCTCTGGCTTTTTGGATTCTTGCAAGCTTGGAACCAACTTGCGGTGCGAAAGGCCATTCGGATTGCTACAAATCCTGCCCTGTTGCTGGGTTCTTGTCAAGGAGTTTATTAATTTAAGTTACCATATTCGGGATCTACAGTACAAGTACGGTGTCCTTCTAATGGTAGTTATAGGGCTCCATCGTAAGAACGTGGTTTCCTTATTGTGTTACCTATAGGGATGTATAGCAAATAGTATGGTTTCCTCATTATGGTAACTTAACCTAAATCCCTTAACGAGAACTGAGGTTGGCGGCCCGGGGGCAGGCCCTGGATTGCCACACGTCTTCTTCGTGGGATTTTTTGTCTTCGGGACCTTTTGCTTGGTCTATGCACAAGAGAAGACTCCAGACAAGACTTGTCTGGATTGAAGAAGCCTTTGTGGTAAAGTTGGTATATGACCTTTAAGTTTTTGTGCACTATACACGCTATATTATCCAAAGCTTAGCCTCAGGTTCCCTTAGGTGCTGGTCAACTAGGAAACTGTCTCAAGTGCTTGAGACCGCTGCCAGCGGCCAGATTTACATAGACTCTAATGATTCTAGTGATGCAATCATTCAGATGAGGGTATCTAACAAGGTAGCTGTGAAGTATTCCAAGAGACGTCACTTTGAATACTCAGCCTCGCCACGCTTTGGCGCACTGATTGGGTACTATAGCAGCTGGTTGATTACCAAACATTATTCTCTAAGGTTCCTTATGGTACCTATACTATCCGACTTGCTAAGCCTATAGTACCCCCTTGGGGTCCGGCTGTGAGAGCTTGCAAATTCGAGCCTCTCTTGCCTCCACTCACCAAACGGTGAAATGGGAGTTTCCGAAAATAGGGGACCCCAATATAGTACCCTAAAATAGTAGGATCCTTATTGTACGGGCCCCGACATAAGGTATCCCTAATTTTCGGAAACTCCCGAATGGTGGCCGCCTGAAATTTGCTACTGGAGCTGTGTCCCAGACACGTGGCTACTCACAACCAAAACGAGTGACTGGGATGCTGCAGGGGAATCACCAAATATAACACAAATCCTAAACCCCTAATTCAATCCCCGAAACCCGCAAAACCCCTAAGACCCTTTAACCCCCCGAACCCCTAAGACCCTAAACCCCTCTAAACCCCACTAACCAATAAACTCCTCTAAACCAATAAACTCTTTGAGCTGATCGCAGGCCCGAGATTTGGAGAGCTTGGCTGTGGCCTTCGCAACGGCCCAAATCCGCGCCGATGCTCGGTCGTCTACTTGTGCCTGCAAGTGTTTAACTAGAATGCCCAGTAGTACCCTTATTCCTTTTTTGTAGTCCTAGGTTCCTTATAAAGTTACCCAATACCAAAAAGAGAGGCCTTTTTGTTCTTAGGTTACTGGGTATCCTAGTTAAAGTTTGGAGTTTAGGACTTGGGGTTCGGGTCTGGGTTTGAGGTTTTGGGCTTGGGGGTTTGAGGTTTGAGGTTTAGGCTTTGGGGTTCAGGATCGAGGGTTTAGTGAAGCCCTCTTGCAAGGGCTCTTACATAGAAGAGCTTCCCCGAGTTTCTTCAAGATTCCTCACTTATTGGTATAGAGTAGGTATCCTTATAATGTATAAGTGTTTAGTAGTATGGAGACTGTTTCATGACTTAGATGCATGATCCACAAAGGCTTTTTTCGGGGGACCACTTTAGTCACTACCTATAGTCCCCATTGTGGTTCCTTTTTTGGTTTACCAATTTATATTAAGGATCCAAAAAGGTAACCCCAAAACGGAACTACAATGGAGACTACAGGTAAACCCTAAACCCCCCAGGAAGACGGATGGTCCGGCAGGCGGGAAAGGGGGCTTAGACAAACACCTTTGGGTGGGGAACCACTGTTAGTCACCAAACCCCAACCCCCCCCCCCCCCAAAAAAAAAAAAAAAAAAAAAAAAATAACCCTAAACCTCAAACCCTAAATCCCAAACCCTAAACCCTGAACCCTAAATCTTACTAAACCCTAAGCATCTTTTGGGGGATGCAAGGACAGCCTCTACGAGGCCATTGCGAGGCCGGCAGCTGGTGTATCAGATGGATGAAGCAACGGTTGGAGTTCAGGGGTTTAGAGTTTGAGGGTTTAGGGGTTTGGTGGGTTAGGGTTTAGAGGCTTAGGGTTTAGGGTAGAGAAGTTTAGAGTCGAGGGGCTAGTAATTATTTGAGATGAACTAGGATGCCCAGTAGTACCCTTATTCCTTTTTTGTAGTCCTAGGTTCCTTATAAAGTTTCCCAATACCAAAAAGAGAGGCCTTTTTATTCTTAGGTTACTGGGTATCCTAGTTGAGATGAATGAAGCAGGGATTGGGGTTGGGGTCTTCGGTTTCGGGTCCACGGGGGTTTTGCCTTTCGGGTTCTGCTTGGGATGGGGGGTTGTTGGGTTTAGGGTGTCGGGCTTCGGTCTTCGGGCGTAGGGTTAGGTAGGGGTTAGGGTTCAGGGCGACTTTTTCTGGGATCCCTAGACTGGTGCGTGCGTGTTTGGGGTGCTTGCGATGGGGATACCGCGTTGCGAAAGTCCCTACTGGATGTACCTATAGGCTCATACCCTACCCCTTGTTTAGGGTATGTACTTTTCTACAAAACGGATCCTAACCATAAAACTAGGTATCCCAAAAAAGGGTAGGGTATGAGCCTCCAGGAAAGGTTCAAGTCCTTGTGCTTGCCATCCTCCGAACAAAGCTGCTGATGCTCACATCCTCCCGGATCCCACTCGGTTTCGAATCTGCCTATGGTCTCCATTGTGTTTCCCATTTCTGGTTGAACCAGTTATATATCAAGGATCTTATAAGGTAATCCAAACAAGGAACTACAATGGAGATTATAGGTGAACTGGCACCAGCTTTGTGAACGGGAGCTGGCGATAGTCCGCGCGCAGGTCGGTGCTCCATGCAGGCAGCCGCCTCGCGATCTGTGGCAGCCAGCCTGAAGCAGTGCTGCTAGAGCGATGCAGAGCCGAGATGGAGTGGACCGTGGCCGTGGTGCTGACCGTATGGCGTGTCATGCCACGTAGTGCCAAACTGACGCACCTCGCTACGCCGGTGACGGCCGTGAAATACATCCCAGCAGAAGATGAGCGACAAGCCTTATGAGCATAAGACCTTCGAAGCACATTAGCATAAGCGGTTTATAGGGATATCCATACCTTATTGGGCTTCATTTTAAGGGGCTTTAGATGGGATGTCCCCATCCTCTTCTTTACCTAGTAGTAGAGGAGGCAACCTTTAATTTTTTTGTTTTGGTAGTATCGTCCCTCTATAATCCCTATATAACCAAAAAGGTTAACCATCAGTTCCCCATGATACCCGACAAGTAGGTTTGGCTACCCCTGCTTACAAGGTGGGGTGCACGGAGTGCTCCTGAGCCTTCAAGCGAGGGGCTTTGATATGTTGGGGCTTAGGTGTTGGGGCTTTCATAGTGTAGAGCTTGGGGGCTAGGGCTTGAAGGGCATACATGTTATATTAGTTCTACACAGTTCTACCATGTTCGATGTTATTCATCATCCAAAGACCTCTTCAATACCCGGGTATCTCAAGGGGCTCCTTTATTATGATAACTGTACCGTACCATACCCCGGAACTTTATTCAAACGGCCAAGGCGCCTACAATAGAAGAGAACCCTCACGGAACCCTTTACAAGGAACCCCATTCTAGACATGGGAGTTTCCGTAAAGGGACCCCAATATAGCATCCTACTTGTACAAAAAGTACCCCAAAACAAGGTACCCCTAATTTTCGGAAACTCCCATATTAGGGCACTAAGCCCCTAAACCCTAAACCCCGCTGAAACCCTAGACCCTAGACGAGCCCCATCTGGTTAGGATGTCCTTAAGGGGGGGTGGTCCAAGGGGGGTAGGTAACCTCGTAATCCCCATTATTCCCCAATACTCCCTAAGCTTCCCTAAGGTTCCCCAAAGCTCCCTAGTACCCTCCACCCTTGAACCACCCCCCCTTAAGGATCCTATAAATCTGAATCTGCACCCTCCTCTGCCGCAGACGCAGCCGCACGAGTCTTGACTGATGCAGGCTGCTGACTTCGCTGTCTAAGTGTTCAGGCTTCTAATATTCGGGCTTTTTAGGGGTACCTTATAAAAAAGTAAACGGGGTCCTTTAAAGGGTTACTATGAGGGTACTCTAAGGGTTCTATAACGGGTTCAGGGTTTAGAGTTTCCGAAAATTAGGGGTACCATATTTTGGGGGTCCCTGTAGTAAGGATCCCCAAACAATGGGGTGCTATTTTAGGGTCCTGTATTTTCGGAAACTCCCGTATAGGGGCTTCAATAATTACCGTACACAAATTACCTTATACCTAGGATGCCCAGTAGTACCCTTATTCCTTTTTTGTAGTCCTAGGTTCCTTATAAAGTTACCCAATACCAAAAAGAGAAGCCTTTTTGTTCTTAGGTTACTGGGTATCCTAGATACGATTTTTGCGGCGGTTCCTTTTATATAAGGGTACCTTGAAGGGCTCCATGAGGGTCTAGAGGAGGGTTCTATAATATAGGGGCTTATTTTGGGGTTCCTTATTGTAGTTATAGTATATAGTATACCCCAAGAACTCTATTCTTATTGTTAAGGCCCCTACATTGTGCCCCAAGGTTCCAACAGTATGTAGATCAAGAGCCTTTGATGGGCGTTGGGATCTTTGTTTTGCTATTTTCAAGCCGCCTGAGTAGGGCTCAGCTGCTTCGGAGTTACAGTTTTGAGAGTTCATTAGGATGTGGCGTTTGGGAGTTTGCAGTGCTTTTTGGGTGCAAGCGCTGAACCCCTCCATCACTGGCGAAGGGTTTAGGGTGAGCTTGGCCTCACTGTATAGTGTGGGTGCTTCCCGAAAAATTGCGAAATCCTCAGCAAAGCCCAGAAAGACTTTGAAAACAATTGCAAAGCTTCAGTAGAGCCCCTTGACGAACCTGCACAAAATTGCACGCCGAAGCCCTCTTGTAATCATTAAACCCTGAACCCGAAACTCCTCGTGTCAGATCCCTCCACTCCGAAGCCTAACCTTAAACCTTAAACCTAAGCCTTACCTAGAGGCTCCATGGTAGTTCCTTTTCGGGGTTCATATTTCGAATCCTATAAGGCAATCCCCAAAAAAGGAGCTACTATGGAGCCTATGGGTACAGTCAACCCTAATCCTGCAACTGTAAACCTAAGCTTTAAAGCTTTTTAACCCTAAGCCCTAAACCCTAAACCCTAAACCCCTAAACCCTAAACCCCTAAACCCTAATTAAAGCTTTTTAACCCTGAGCCTGGCTGAGGATGCTCACAGATTTCAACTCTTTGGACCTGGCGAACATGGCTGTGGCACTCCGGACACCTGGGCTCCAACTCAAAGCTGAAAGTACCTGCCTCGCCCTCCTGGGGTGTATAATAGGTCCAAAGGGGAACAGAAGGGACGTTTAATGGGGACCCCTAGGTATGGAGCCAAGGTTGCAATCAGGGTTTAAGACTATATGAGTTTGTTTTCCTTGCACACCCTACCTTTCAAAGGATACATAGATGTGTGTGTGTGTGTATATATATTTATGTATGTGTTGATCAAAAAGATATATCTATATATATATATATAAGGAACCCGAATCAAAGGGTCCAGGCACATACCAAACCCCCAACACCCCTCAACCCCAAACCCTCAAACCCAAACCGAAGCCAGAATTCCACAAGCGCGCTTTGCAGGAAGGCATCCTGGGAAGATCCGGACGCTGGGATGGTTACAGTAGAAGCCAAAAAGTTGGAAGCCCGATAGCCTCAATCCCTAAGAGTAAAGTATAGGGAATCCCCGCAGTGTTTGTCCTTAATTAGGTTTCCATTTTTTTTGAGTTGGCTTTAGGTCTAAGGCTGCCCAAGAGTGCATTCAGGAGTTCGGTCCTCAGGTTTGAAGCTTATCGGGGTTTAAGATATGTTGGGGTTCAGGGTTCTTAGTATTTAGGATTTGCAGTAGAAGCCAGAAAGTTGGAACATCATTATCCCCATGTCCTTAAGGTAAAGTATAGGAAATCCCCGCACGAATCGTCCTAAATCCATGTTCCAACTTTCTGGGGCTCACTTATAGGGTTGAAGATATTTGGGGTTTGGGGGTTTTAGGCCTCTGGGTTTAGGGTTTAAAGACTCAGGGCTTCCGGCTCTGTATCCTCCAACTTCTGGTGAGGATCTTGGGTTCAGACTTTAGGGTTGCAGGCTTAGGTTTTAGGATTTAGGGTTTAGAGTTTATGGGTTTAGGGTTTAGGATTTGTAGGGTTAAGAGTTTAGGGTGTAGGGTTTAGGGGATTGGAGAACCTTCAACCCCTAAACCGAGCACACATTTGGTATCACTTAGATGTGGAGCTTCAACAAGTTCAGGGCCTCTGTCGGGTGCCCTGAACCCTAAACCCCTTAACCCCGAACCGCTAAACCTTGAACCCCGAACCCCCGAGCCTTGAACCCCGACGCCTGCCTTCTTTCTCGAGCTGTAGCTTGAGGTTCGCGTAATGCTGTATGTCAGCTCTGTGTTCCGCGCCACCGATAGCCCTAAATCCTACCCATAGTCTCCATTTTAGTTCCTTTTTTTGTTTAACAAATTTTATATTAAGGATCCTGAAAGGTAACCCCAAAAAGGAACTACAATGGAGACTATAAGAAAATACTAGGAACCCAAAGCCCCAAGACATCTTAAACCCTATAAGCCCTAAACCGGAGGACCCAACCCGAAGTTCGAAATCCCCTGTACCAGGACCCCGCAAAGGCCCTTGAGCAGAGCACTTATATGGTCCTTAATATTATTGGTATTTGGGGTATACTAGAGGGTAGATGGGGGGTCGAGTGAGAACCCTTCATCACGCGGACCCCTTTGTCCCCTTGGGTGCCTTGAAACCTTCAAAAGCACCATGGCACCCTGTTGCAAGACCCCAGGAAAGCGACTATTCTGGCAAAACCATGACTAGAATGTATCGCCATTATGAAGCCAGAAAGTTGCAACATTATTATCCTCATGCCCTTAAGGTACAGGATAAGGAATCCTAGCACTAATCCTCCTAAACCCATGTGCCAACTTTCTGGCTTCTACCTGTAGTCTCCATTGTAGTTCCTTTTTTTGGTTTAACCAGTTTTATATTAAGGATCCCAAAAGGTAACCCAAAAAAGGAACTACTATGGAGACTATAGGTACTGTAGGATCTTTGCAACCTCTGAGATTCGAGATTCAGGACCTCATGTGCGACATCGCGCGTCATGCGATCCCTCAGCTGCGGGCCGGCAACGCGCCGTGCCGGCCTCGGATGTCGGCAAGAAGGCTTGGCCTATAGTCTCCATTGTAGTTCCTTTAAAGGGGTTTAGGGTTCCTTTAAAGGGGTCTAAGGTTCCTTTAAAGGGGTTTAGGAGTTTAGGTTTTAGGGTATAGTCTCCATTGTAGTTCCTTTTTGGGGTTACCTTTTAGGATCCTTGGTTAAACCAAAACATGGAACTACAATGGAGACTATAGGTGAAGCGCAAAGGGTTTCCGTTAAGGGTCTATATGCGTGGTTGTCAAAATTGGGATTCCTTTTTGGGTACCCTAAATATTAGGTGCCGTACTATCATAAGGACCCAAACAGGGACCATCATTTTGACAACCACCCAGGTGGCAGTTTGGTGGGTTGTACCTTCTAGTTCCCTTAGAGCTCACCTTAATCTTTTCATGCAAACTAGTAGGTGCCCGTGAACTACCTATAGTCTCCATCGACGTTCCTTTTTTGGTTTAACCAATTTTATATCAAGGATCCTAAAAGGTGACCCCAAGAAGGAACTACAATGGAGACTATAGGTAACTACTGAGAACCCTAAACCCCAAGACATCGTAAACCCCTAAGCCCTAAACCTGAGGACCTAACCCTCAGGTCTAAGTCCCTTGTACCAGGACCCCCCAAGGGCCCTTGAATACTCCCAGACCTTCCAAAACCCCTTAATTTAATTAAATTAAGGAATATACCTTAAATCATATTAGGGACCCGATTATAATTTAAGGTATATTCCTTAATTAAGGGATTTTGGGAGGTCTGGGCAGGACCCCCCAAGGGCCCTTGAATACTGAACCTAGGCTCCGGCACTTCGGGATTAGGCGTCTTTGAACTCTAGGATGCCCGGTAGTACCCTTATTCCTTTTTTGTAGTCCTAGGTTCCTTATAAAGTTACCCAATACCAAAAAGAGAGGCCTTTTTATTCTTAGGTTACTGGGTATCCTCGTCGGGATTAGGCGTATTTGAACTTCAGTGGCGCAGGGATTAGTGTCGACGGGGAGTGGTGTCCGTCTCTGTTCGCCCTTTGGCTTACCTGCAGGCTCATACCCTACCCCCTTTTTAGGGTATCCACTTTTCCATATAACAGATCCTCACCATAAAACTAGGTATCCAAAAAAAGGGGTAGGGTATGAGCCTCTAGGTAAGATTTAGGGCTGCATGATTGTAGCCCATCTGACTGGTGCGCTATTGGGGGCTGTTCCAAATCCCAAGTGTGAGGGGCGCGGGGTTTAGGGGTTTAGGGTTTGGGGTTTGGGGTTTAGGGTGTGGATGGAAGGATTTTGCTGTGTGGTATACTGAATCTGGGTAGTTGTGTGGTTTGGAATCGTCCACAAGTCTTGTGGTCTGCAGGGTTAGTGTGGAATCCGCCAGGATTAGCCTTGAAACTTCACTTAAAGCACAATGCCCTAACACCTTAGACCCAATTGCCATGAACTCCCGAAACCGCAGGACAGTTTCAAAGGCCCTAAACCCTGAACCCTGAACCTCTTACTTGTAGCAGCCCTTATCGGAACCCTCTTGGGAAACTTGCGAGGAACTTCAATATCGTGTTCGAGGTTGATAGCCCGTAACCCTAGACCCATCCCTAAGCCCTAAGCCGTAAACCCTGAACCCAACCCGAAAAAAAACTAGGATGCCCAGTAGTACCCTTATTCCTTTTTTGTAGTCCTAGGTTCCTTATAAAGTTACCCAATACCAAAAAGAGAGGCCTTTTTATTCTTAGGTTACTGGGTATCCTAGCCTTTGAGTATCTTCAGACTTTCCGGAGTTGAGGTCCCAAGCTTTGGTGGACTTTGCCTGGTCCTTCCGCGCACTCCCAGTGGCCAACTTGCAGGAGCGGCTTCCGAGTGTTACCAGGGGGGCCGTAACAATGACCGATACCATTTTGGGGGGCTCCTCATCATATTCCACGCATGATACATCCCCTTCCATGATTACCGATACCACTTTGGGGGCTCCTCATCGTATTTAAAGCATAACACATCCCCAAACCCCATTCTTATTCTTAAGTCCGCTACATTAGGGGTTTAGGCTTTTCGGGTTAAGGGGTCGCCTAGGTGGTCTGAATCATTGCGAACCGTATCCCCTTATAGTCAGTCCCTACGAAAATATACGGTGGAAGCCTAAAAGCTGGAATCCCAATAGCCTCAATCCTGAAGAGTACTATATAGGAAATCCCAGCACTATTTGCCCTTAATCCGGTTTCCAACTTTAAGGAGTCCATTGTAGTATCGTATACCATGCAAGCCCACAAGTCCCCCTCAAGAAGCTCCTAAAATGAACGGATGTTGGGGTTTAGGTTTACTCTTTGTTCTTCAAGTAGAGCAGTAGGGCCCTTGGCGAGGTTACCCGGATTCAGAGATGCCGGACATGCCAAACCCTGAATCCTACATTCTAGACCCTAACATGGCCCTAAATCCTGAACTCTAAACCCTGAACCCCTAAACACTGAACCCTGAATTGCTAAACCCTGAATCCCTAAACCCCGAACCTTAAACCCGAAATGCGAAATCAGCCGAGTTCCTCAGCTGAGCTGTGCAGGATTTTTGGACGGCCTGGTCGAGCGAGGTGCGAGCCGCTTAGGGTTTCGGGTTTCGTCTTTGTCAGGGTTTTGGGACTGGTATTATACTGAGGGGCTTCATCTTGGCTGTTTTTCGGTGTTGTCGTTACATAAGGCTTTCGGATTTATGTAGAGTTTTGGGGTTTATATACGTAAGAATTAGGGATTGGCGCCTTTGCGGGGGAGTGTGAGGGACGACTACGGCTGGGGCTTTCTAGCGATCGTCCTTATCAGAACCCTGATAAGTCTAGGGTTTAGGGTTTAGGATTTAGGGTGTAGGGTTTTGGGGTTTAGGGTTTAGGGTTTAGGGCTCCAGCAACCTAAATGGTAGGTGTCTAACCATATGACCAAAAGATGGGAAGGGGTATGTGCTAGGTTTTTGTTTTTCTGTCGTTTTTTTGTTTGCTGGGGGGGTCCCTTCGAAGGCAATGAAGGAGGAAGGAAGGAAGCAAGGAATGGCAGGAGAAAGAAAGGAAGGAAGAAGAAAGGAAGGAGGGAAGGAATGAAGGAACGAGAAACAAGCAAGCAAGAAAGAAAGGAAGAAAGATAAGAAGGAACGAACGGAGAACCCCGGAAGGAATGCCGAAGGAAGGAAGAAGAAAGGAAGGAGGGAAGGAAGGAAGGAAGGAAGGAGAAACACAGGAAGCAAGAAAGGAAGGAAGGAAGATAAAAAGGAACGAATGAGAACCCCGGAAGGAAGGAAGGAAAGAAGGAAGGAATGCCAGGGGAAAGGAAGGAAGAGAGGAAGGAGGGAAGGAAGAACGGAAGGAACGAGCAAGACAGTCAGCAAGAACGGAATCAAGGAAGATCAAAAGGAACGAATGGAGAACCCCGGAGGGAGGGAAGGAAGGAAGGAAGGCAGGAATGCCAAGATTTTCACTGACGTGGCGACAGCGGAGTTCCCAGACCTTCCAAAACCCCTTAATTAAGGAATATACCTTAAATCATATTAGGGACCCTATTATAATTTAAGGTATATTCCTTAATTAAGGGATTTTGGAAGGTCTGGGTTTGGCCGAAAGCAGCCATATAGCAAGAAAACGGGCGACGTATCCGAGGCCATATCGCAATTGAAGGAGGAGCATGACGACTAGGATGCCCAGTAGTACCCTTATTCCCTTTGTGTAGTCCTAGGTTCCTTATAAAGTTACCCAATACCAAAAAGAGAGGCTTTTTTATTCTTAGGTTACTGGGTATCCTAGACGACACACAGCTGGCCAGCCGCCAAAGCCCCAACAACTGGATAGCTTCATGCGTCGCGTCCGATGCAGCCAGCATCTTGTGTGGAAAATTGGACGCGGGACCCAGAAATCAAATCAGCGAGAATTGTGCACGGCACCACAGAGGGGCGACACATGCAGCCAGCATCCTGCGTAAATGACAGGATGTGGGGGCCCCAAAGAAAGAAGACAGAAATAAAATTCCACCCTAAAAGATGCCCAGTAACCAGTAACCCATTATCTAGGCAACTGGAGCCCTACGGAGCATTCTGCAACAGTTGGATAGTAATGAATATGTATATTGGACGCCCTTGCTATGACCCCTGCTACGAGGTGGGGGCAGTACCCAACCTAAACACCTCTAGAGCTGGCAGGTCTTGAGGAAGATGTCTCGGCACGACCTCCGCCACCTTGTGGCTTTGGAGGCTGTTGGGTTCATCCAGAGGTCAAGCTGGTTTTGGGGGCCAGAGATCACGAATATTCTATGTGTATGTATGTATATACATGTATGTACATTTGTGTACATATATACACGCATAGATACAGATTTGCACTTCAAGCGGTTCAGCTTTTGCATTTTCTGGACCGGTTTGGTTGGAAAGGGTTCTCAAAAGGTCATGGCTTCTACGCAGGATTCGATAGGTGTCCTACTACGGTTTGGGGTTTGGGTTCAATCTCGATGTCGGAATGATTGGTGAGTTTGTTGAAGAACATCCCATGCAGAGTATTGTATACAACGTACATCAGTATATGGTGAATCCACTGTACCACAAACCCGACTCGAATGGCAAGGCCCCAAAATTGAGACCGCAGAGCCCCATAGAACGAAAGAATTTCGCTTGTTGTTGGGAGGGAAGAGTCTTCGTCCCTACATCTTTCCCAAAGTCCGAAGACAGTTCGTGATGCATTTGTTGTGGAACTTTGTTCGTGCAATGTGCCTCTCGACTCCATGTCATCTCACACACTGGGCTCGTGCGACACAGTGGGAATCGTACATGTACTCCGCAGCACCAAATCGTGCAAACTTGGTTGCTCCAGCCTGTCCACACGTCAAGTGATCACGGCCTGCGCCTTGAGACAACGGCTCTCGTACTACAGGCCGTATTTTTTCAATCGATATGGGAGTTTCCGAAAGTAGGGGACCCTAATATAGTACGTTGAGTAGTAGGCTCCCTATTATAAGGACCCCAAATAAGGTACCCCTAGTGACCCCCATATGGGGCGGCCGTGGTGAGGATGCCTGTTGCGATTATCTGTCGGATCCGAGCACAAGCCAAGCCTCTGGAACACTTCACACACTCGCACATGCGCCGTTACGAGCCAGATCTGCGTTTACCTCAGCACCTCGAATCAGAGAACCTGTAGTCCATCGAGGCAGAACAATGTTTAAGAACGGTTTAGGCCTTTGAAGCTAAATCTTTCATGCGTATTGAGTCTCAAACAGAGCCTCGATGCAAAGAGTCTGCAACGATGCGAGGCCCTGTCCCCGGCTCCCACGCGTGCCACCGTGGGGCAACAGCTTGGGCGTGCTGACGGCTCAGAAGACAGGCTGCTGGAGGCTGTTTGGGAGGTTTGTTTTGTGGGGGCTGTTGGTTGTTTTCAGCTTTGTTGAAGTTTAGGGACTCACTAAGCGCTACAAAGCCTCTTGAACCCAGAAGCTTAAATCCATGTTAAAAAATGCTGCCATGACTAGATGCCCTCCTCGTGTTGTTCCGGGTTCAGGGTTAAAGATCTTACTGCGGTTTTAAACAACTAGGATGCCCAGTAGTACCCTTATTCCTTTTTTGTAGTCCTAGGTTCCTTATAAAGTTACCCAATACCAAAAAGAGAGGCCTTTTGATTCTTAGGTTACTGGGTATCCTAGAAGCTCTGATTCAGCTGCCATGCTTGCTTTTAAGAACACGTTGAGTCTTCGGGGAACTCCCAGAGCGCCACAACATCTTCCGCTTGGCCTGGAACGATTAGAACCTGAGTTCGGAGTTTACGGTTTGGGGTGTCGCAGCATCCCTCTAACCTAGGATGCCCAGTAGTACCCTTATTCCCTTTTTGTAGTCCTAGGTTCCTCATAAAGTTACCCAATACCAAAAAGAGAGGCCTTTTGATTCTTAGGTTACTGGGTATCCTAGTCTAACTTTCCAACACTTTCAGCTATTTGTGCAAGTATCGGCTCCCCCTGGACCCCCAATATATGTGGAATCATAGCGTTACAGGTTTTGGGCCATTATTTTACCTACTTTTGGGGTCCTTATACCAGGATCACGCCGTCGCATGCGCAAGTCCACTGCTCGAGGAAGCTTGGGATACGGTCGGGTCCAAGCGGGGAAGGCTCATGTTGCTCAGGGGCTTCAGGGTTTGGACGTCTAGAGGCTCATACCCTACCCCTTTTTTTGGATACCTAGTTTTATGTTAGGATCTGGTATATAGAAAAGTAGATACCCGAAAACATGAGTAGGGTATGAGCCTACAGGTAGGGTACTATATTAGGGTCCCGTATTGTCGGAAACTCCCACATTCCTTCACCTTACACCCTTCCTTTATTATAGACCCCTTAAAGGCACCCTTATATATCCCTTAAAGGAACCCTTACGGATCCTTAAAGGAACCCTTACGGATCCCTTAAAGGTTTCAGTTCTCTCCATTGGCTGCCCAGGTCCTGTACCGCCTGCTTCGGGTGCTTCCGCAAACCCCCTCCGACTGGTTTGGAGAGGACAGGCCGAAGTGTCTTAGGGTTTAGGGTTTAGGGTTTAGGGCCTAAAGTCTCCATTGTAGTTCCTTTTTGTGCATGTGGTTTAACCAATTTTATATTAAGGATCCTAAAAGGTAACCCCAACAAGGAACTACAATGGAGACTATAGGTAGGGACCCAACCCTAACTTATTAGGCTTCATTATAAGGGGGTTTAGATGGGATATCCCTACCCTTGTTTTTGCTTATGTGCTTTTGGGGGGCCGAAGTGTCAGCGAACAGAATTCCTCAGGGGTACTTAGAGAACTGATTTTAAATTTTCATTCCTATAATCACTAACAAACGGCATAAGCATAAGCGTTTTAGAGTGATATTTGTTGCCTTGTTGGGCTTCATCATAAAGTTGTTTTGAGAGCCTAAAGTGTCAGCGAACAGAGTTCATCGAGTCCCTGTACCCAGAGTTTCTCATAACTGACTCAGGGAAAACAAGGATCCCTTACCAACAGCAGGGTTTCTCGTTGGAGCGAGTGGGTGCTGGTCTGAGCCGTGCAGTGCCATCCTCAAGATAGACTCCTATCGATACTGCCAAGTGTGCGACTCAAAGTTCCCAAATCCACGAAGTGCATGTAACTAGCAGCTTATACACGCAGAGTTGAAGTTAGTGACGCGGCATAAACCACTACTTCGAATCCGACCCCACGAAACCTAGCCTCTCTCAATCCTAGCGCCATAAACCCTGGGACGATAGATCGTACCAATCGCAATATAGTAAGACGTACAAACCGCTGGGCCCTTAATTAACAGAGAAATTCCCCACGAGGGCGTCGGGGATAGGGCTAAGGGGCTCGCAGCAACAGCGTGCTCGGGGTGGTACCCCGAAACCCTAAACCCTAACAGAACGCGTAGACAACCAAAAAAAGCAAATGCCTCAAGCACAAAAACCCTAAACCCTAAAGCTTGAGGACTACTCTAACCTGCTTCGCGGCCTGCGGATAGCCGACCTCGGAGCGGCTGCTTCCACGAAAAGCCCAGAACTAGGTTCCGTTCAGGCCCAGACCTTCCAAAATCCCTTAATTAAGGAATATACCTTAAATTATAATTGGGTCCCTAATATGATTTAAGGTATATTCCTTAATTAAGGGGTTTTGGAAGGTCTGGGTAGGTTCCGTTCAGGGCTTCTGCCTGTCTTCAACCACACGGCGTTCGAAACAAAATCTAGCTTTGCGTCGAGTTTCATTTGGCAGTCACGGTTTGCTCTTTCGCTGTCTCCATCTCTCTATCTACGTTGGTCTGTATATCTATGCCTGTATCTTATTAATCTAGATGCCTTCTTGCTCCGGGAACGCCCGGATTTGAACCCAACCCCCAAGCTTTCATGGAATCCTTGTGCAAACCGACCCCCCTCCCCCGTCCCGGAACTGGGCCTTTGGTGCTGGTTGATTGCCAGGCTCCGGCTTTATCTTCACATCCTGAATTTCCGAAATGCACTCAACATGAAGTTCCTAACCTGCGAAACTCCAAAATCGCTACATCCCCACACCCCAGATCCTTATAGCAACCCCAATCTAAGCCCAATCTAAGCCCCTAAACCTTTCGACCAAAATCTTAAATCCTAAACTCCAAACCCCTAAACACCTAAGCTGATGATGATGTTCCACCTTTGGCCTAAACTATACACCCTATTGCCTAAACCGCGGCTTACCCCTAAACCCTTGAAACCTAAACCCTCAAGCACTCTGCAGTTCGAAAAGGAGCCCTTAAAACAAAAAAGACTTCAAGCACCCTAAACCCTAAAACCCTAAACCCTTGAAACCCTAAACCCTAAGCCGTGCCCACCCCAAGGCTGCTACCACCTTCTTCCTGTCACAGCTGGGTCTTGCGGTGACCTTTCAGGTGTCTCGCCCGAAGGATTTGTCAGAGACTCCAATATTCCCTAATTTAAGGAATACCTCGGGTTCCTTGAGATCTTTTGGATTTAGGGTTTAGGGGACTCCAATATTCCTAAATTAAGGAAGTTATATGCCTTAAGATATAGTAGGATGCCCTAATATGATTTAAGGCATATTCCTTGGATATTGGAGTCTCTCGCCCGAAGGCTTTGTCAGGCCTTACGAAGCAAGTTAGGACTCAGGGTTTAGGATTCAGGGTTCAGGGTTTAGGATTCAGGGTTTACGGTTATAGGATATGAGGTTTAGGCTTATAGGATTCGGGATGTTGGTCTTGTGGTTTAGGGCACGGCTTAAAATAATAGGATTCTGGGTTCTTAATAGGACTTCGGGCTTAAGGGTTTAGGAAGTTCAGGATTGTGGGACATTTCCAGATTCTAGGGCATAGGTTGGTTAGGATTAGGTTTCTGGACTTCAGGGAATGGGTCAGATTGGTTTGAGGGGTGCGTAGGACCCTTATGGAGTGGATGTTGAGATTTGAAAACCTTTGAGGATTTAAGGCTCATGGCTTGGGATTTAAGAGTTCATTTGTTTAGATTTGAAGATTCTCTGCTTTTCTTCATTTAAAGTTTATGATATAGGTTTTTAAGCCTCCTGTTGTCCGGAAATCAGGGTTTGACGATCGAGTATAAAGGTTAGGGTTTAGGGATTTACGGAATAGGATTGGGGATTGATTGTGAGGATTGAGGGAATAGGGAATTCAGGATCAAGATGTAGGGAGTTGAGGACGAGGGTTTAGATTTTATGGGACTTAATCACAGAGCTTGAAGCTTAGGGGTGTAGGGTTTATTTTTGGCCACCTGCGCTTCGGGGTTTGTTGTCTACTTGGAGGCCCAGGGGACTTAGTAAGTAGGTAATAATCGGTGTAACTCCATTTTGGGTACTTATAACCCTACTTATAACCTACTTACTAAGTCCCCTGAGCCTCTAAGTAGACCCTAAACCCTAAACCCCATAGATCCCTTTAAGGAACCCTATAGATCGCTTTAAGGAGCCCTTTAATAAGAGCCCTTACTAAGTCCCCTGGGCCTCTAAGTAGACCCTAAAAAAACCTAAACCATATAGATCCCTTTAAGGAGCCCATGAATAAGAGCCCTTACTAAGTCCCCTGGGCCTCTAAGTAGAGTCTGCGTTGTTCATGTGGGGATTTCCGAAAATAGGGGACCCTAATATAGTACCCTAAATAGTAGGATCCCTATTATAAGGTAGTCGGACACAAGGTCATAGGCGACAAAGGTGAAACAGAAAGAACAGACAGGTGCTGTTTCAATCACTGGGGATCCCTATTATAAGGACCCCAAAATAAGGTACCCCCTAATTTTCGGAAACTTTCATGTTCTGCGCCCCAGCGTAACCAGGCGCTCAGGCGAGGCTGTAGCTGGTCTGTACCTATACTTGGGGGGTCGGGGGACTTAGTAAGTAGTTAGTAAGTAGACTTATAAGTACCCTAAAAGGGACCCTAATTGGTGTTATGATACTTCTAAGTCCCTAAAATAACCAGTTACTAAGTCCCCCGACCCTCCAAGTAGTCTGCATTGTAAGGGGTGTACCTATAAGGGTCCCTTTAAAGGGATCTATAAGGGCTCCTATAAGGGATCTTTAGTTTAGGGTATAGTAGCTATAGTCTGCATTGTAGTTCCTTTATATGGTTTAACCAATTCTTGATTAAGGATCCGAGGTAACCCCAGAAAGGAACGACAATGGAGACTACAGGTAGTGTGTGTTTCTGGGGCTGAAGCCACAGGATACATGTCTCCGAAGTGATTAGCCCCACCTCCCGAAAAGTATGCGTCGGTACCTGCCGCATCCCGGACACCAGACACCTAGGTTCCGAAGTTGTGCCCTGGGTTCCCTTATAAACCCAAACAGTTGGGAAGAGGGGTGCCCTTATAATTAGGGGGGCCACTGGGGAACCTAACTTACGCTGCGAAAGCCCCAAGACCAGACCCAACCTGGAATCCCAATCCATATCTGCCGAACACCTCGAACAAACTGAAACACTATAAACCCTAAACATCCACTAAGACATGCAATTACCACCGACGAAAACCCTACGTTGATAACCTCAATATGGGCAGCTCTTTGACTGAAAGCACCTTTCAGGGTCCTGTTCTACGGGACCTGCCTCTAGTCTCCATTGTAGTTCCTTTTGTGGGTTACCTTATAGGATCCTTAATATAGATATATATACTTGCTTAAACCAAAAAAAGGAACCACAATGGATACTATAGGTAGGAAGGGACCCAGATTCAGAGAATAACCCATATCACGCCAGGGCGAGGCAGATGGTGACGAAGGACCGACAGCAAGCAGCTCCCTAAAGGGCAGAATGGGATGGACGATTCTTGGGGCTTCGCGGATTTAGGGAGTTTAATTCATGTTCAGGGGTGGGATCTATCCTAGAGTGCCTGGAGTTTTGCAAGCTTAGGGAATTTGAGGGATGGCATCTACTTGTTCTGGGGCGGAAGGAAGGACATCTTAAAGCAGCAACTCTAGGCCAACCCTTAACACCCAAAGCCCTGAACTGACCCCAAGACACTAAGCGATAACCCCTAAGACCCTAAAACCGTAAAGCCCTGAAGCCCTAACGCCCTGAACCCTAACGCCCTAGAACCGTCATCCCCAACAGCCTACAGTAAACCCCATAAGGTTGGAAACCGGATTAAGGCCAAATAGTGCTGGGATTCCCCATACACTACTCTTAAGGACTGAGGCTATGGGGTTGCCAACTTTTGGGCTTCTACTGTAAAGCCCTGAACTCTAAGCCCCAAAGTCTGAAGACGTAAACCCCTGCCAGGATAGCGCACTACCCAGGGGCCCCAAAGCCCAAAGTAGTTCCTTTTTGGGTGTGTCCTCTTTTTTGATTAGGGACTCTAATATACTACCCAAAAAGGAACTACTTTGGGGCCCCTGGGTAAAACCCTTGATCGGCTAGTAGTTTGGACCCGAAATCCTCGAAAACTCCGACAGTGATAGGTTTAGGGTTGGGGGAGGGAGTTTTGGTCGTATCCTTTAACACCTTTAACACCCCCAAAGCCTGAACCCCAGCCTCTAAATCCCCATGGAGGAGAACCACAAGTGAGTCACGGCTGGCCATGTTCTGTGCCACACCATCGACCTGTTTAGTCGGTTGTGCCCAGAGCCTCCAAAACCCCCTGAATTAAGGAATATACCTTAAATCATATAGGGGATCCTACTATAATTTAAGGTATATTCCTTACTTAAGGGATATTAGACTCCCCTAAACCCTATACCCTATAGATCCCTTTAAGGATCCCTGTAAGGAACCCTTAAGGTATATTCCTTAATTAAGGGGTTTTGGAGGCTCTGGGTGTCTTCTCCTCCTACATGACCATCTCCAAGAGGTGCTGGGAAGATCTTGACCAGCCACCAACCTTGGCTCGTTTACGGTTTAGGGGTTTAGGGTTTAGGGTGTAGGGTTCAGGGTGTAGGGTTAAGTTTAGGGTTTAGGGTTTAGGGTGCTCTAAATGGCCTGCGACCTGACTTCTACAAGTGACCTGTTTTTGTTCGAAGGCTGGCGGAAGTTGTTGGTCAGCTGCCTTCTGAAGCTGCTCCGTGCAGCAGGGCCATCAAGTCTTCGGACACAACCATACAGTCGTTGTTGCCTCAAGGCCTTGATGGTTCCCTTGGGCCAGGCCCAGCTACTGCCGCTGTGCGACTCCGCTTCAGAACGGTCTTCCCTAACCCTAAACCCCTAAACCCTAAACCCCTAAAACCCTAAACCCTCCACAATGTGGATTCCGCCAACCTTAACTGCTAGGTGGAAAAAGGTGCTCAAAAAAAAAAACCCTTAAACCCCTAAACCCTAAACCCTAAGAACTTGGGTCTGTTCTTGCAGGCCACTTCAACACTGATCCTGCGAGCACTGTTCGCCGGTCGGGTGAACTTGGTGATCGCTCTGTTCAGTACCACTGTACCTTAACACACAACTCTCCTAGTTTAGGGCTTAGGGGTTTAGGGTTTAGGGCTTAGGGTTTAGTGATGTTTAGGGTTTAGGGCCCACTGTGGTGTAAAAGCCCATGCAGATCAAAAAGCAGATCTAAATTCGAAAACGCAAGATATCTTCGAAGCCCCAAGCACCAAGCCCTGAAGCGCAATAGGTCTTCAGATTTCATCCCGGCAGTTCTTTGAAGCTGATCGCTAAGAGCTCCACACCAAGCTTACCCGGTCGATGCGTGTTTAAGGGGTTTGGGTTTTTAGGGTCTGTAGAGTTTAGGGTATACGGTTCATGGTTATTTGGGTGGTTACATGGGCTTTACAGGTTTCTTGGTGGTTTTACAAGGCTTAAGGGTCCACGATTGAGGTTTGAAGGTGTGCTGTCTTGTTGACTACTTCGGAGGTTTAGGTGTTTGCAGCTCTAGTCTGCTATTATGATATCACTGCATACTGTGATGGTAAACATTGTTGATCTGCCTCCATTTTGCGAAGGCCTTGAATGAAAGCCAAAACCCCGAACCGAAGCCCCAAGACTTAAAACCAACAAGCTATAATCCCGGAGGAACCGAAGGCGGCGAATGCTGCAGCAAAGCTTCGGTTCTGCCACTCGGCAGACTCTCGTGAAGCTGGCGTTCCTGGGTCTGAACCTGCATCTCTTGTAGGGTCCATTCGAGGGACGTTCGGGCCCGAAGCCCGAAAACATTAATCTGAAGCTGTGAGCACTCCGAAACCGTAAGCCAAAACCCTAAGCCCGTAAATTCCTAATCCATAGCTGTAGAGTCTTAGGGTCTGGGTGTTGAGGACAAAGAAGAAGCCAATATAGGCTTAGCAGTTGAGCTGTATTATATTCTTTGCAATATAGGCTGAGCCGGCTGAGCTGCATTATATTCTTTGCTGGGTATACAGCAGGCCATCCTTCACGATCCTGAAAAGTCACTATTGATTTAGGGTTCACTTTGCGATGTTCAACATAAATGCATCTCAAAACCTTGTTCTAATCATTCAGCCCCTTACAGTAGAAGCCAGAAAGCTGGAATATCATTATCGTAACCCCTTTAAGGTAAATTATAGGGGATCCTACCATTAATCCATATTCCAACTTTCTGCAGTTCCCTTTATCTGAGTGTGCGCAGACCAGGTACTCCTTGCATGGTCAGCCAGAGAGGGTGATCTGCAAAGAGGACTGAGACTACAAACTTTGAGGTTTTCGGAGTTGACAGGGTTCAGGCGGGCTCCTAACGTAAAAGCCAGAAAGTTGGAATATGATTATCCTAAACCCTTTATGGTAAATTATAGGGTATCCTACCCTGAAACCATATTCCAACTTTCTGGATTTCCCTGTAGGTTTACACGGTTCGGGATTGGGGTCATGTTTCTAGGGTTCAGGGCTTCCGGGTTTGTTTGTGCTTTTCGCGTGTTGGGCTCGCAAATCAAAGGTTCGTGTTGAAAGTTTAGGACCTGAAAGGTTTAAGTTTAACTAGGATGCCCAGTAGTACCCTTATTCCTTTTTTGTAGTCCTAGGTTCCTCATAAAGTTACCCAATACCAAAAAGAGAGGCCTTTTTATTCTTAGGTTACTGGGTATCCTCGGGATTATGTTCAGGTTTGGATCTTTAAGCCTTAAACAGCAAGGTAACCAACAACTGGACTCGAAGGCTACAGGCAGCGTTTCACGATGTTGGACTCGGAGTGTATTTTCGAATTTTGTTTCGTTATAGAAAGAGCAAGCCAAAAGCCCTAAACTCTAAACCCTAAGCGCTGGAGTGCCACTCAGTGCTCTCCCGACGCTCAGAGGAATGACCGCTTCCCGGATCTTGCAGACGGAAAAGCGACGTTAAAAACAACTAGGGCTGGGCATTCTTTCTTATGCTGAGGGTTTTTTTCTTATGCTCTTTTTTCGGGCGTAAAAACCATGCCCAAACAACTAAACGCTCTAAACCCCAAAGCCCTGCATGAGAAGTTCCCACTATACTGTAAGTTCCGAACGACGAGCTCCCTGCGTCCTTGAGTTCTATGCTGAGGGCTTTGTGGGCCTTTCCAGGTCTTATACAAAAGGGCTTAAATGCGTGTTTAATGTTTTCGGTGGTTTCTTGCGGGGGGGGGGGGGGGGGGGCGCAGGTGCATGAGAACAGTAGTCACTTGAAAGGGGGCATTCTCATTACTGCTACTCTTCTTCTTACTGCTACCATTTTTGTTGTTATGATTACTTTTATTGTTGTTACTTATTAGTGGCATTATTCTTGCAATTGATTTTACTACTGCTATTGTTACTTTTGTTAGTTTTGCTGTTATTATCAATACTATCCCCTATTTGTCCGGTACTTGTCTTTTAACCTTAGAGAATTATACCTTGGGTACGGCCCCCTCTCAGTAACAGTTGGATAATATTCATAATATAGATATATCAGGCCCTTAATAGTAGCCCTATTATAGACTTTTACTGAAGGGGGCAGTACCCAACGTTAGAGAATTAGACCGGCGAAGCCCGAGCAGGAGGCAGCGAAGCTCTCCCGGTTGCAGTCCACCTGGCTGTCTCCGGTTCGGCACTTGCGTGTAGCCCGGCCGAATTCGGGGGTTTAGTGTAAGGGTTGAGGGTGTAGGGTATACCTAAACCCGGAATGACCTACTGCTTTAAGGACTTATATAGGGAAATTATGCTTAACAAGGAACCCTAAAAGGGTAGGTTCTTCAGGGTTAAGGTAGGCCTCAGGGCTTAGGGTCTAAGGCTTAAGGTTTAGTGTTTCGGGTCGAATTTGGCAAACATGCAGGCGGGTAGTCGTAGTAGCTGAGTAGGTAGCCTTTGAGCTTCTCGGGTTGATGACAGAAAATCCTACCAGAATGAAGGAGGTAGGCTGTGTTTGACGGTGTTGAGGGCTCTAGACGGTCGGCCGCAATCCCAAACCGTGCCTTGCAAACCGAAACCCTGGAGCCCCTGCCTAACCATTGATATTGGAGGAGCTAAGGAGCCAGGGATGATGATAATCCCTATTTTATAAGGAGCTAAAGAGCCAAGGGAACCCCAAAACCACTGGTTGGCTGCGCCATCTTCGGCTTTCAAGCGATGAGTTCAGCTCTTTATGAAAGAAACCACTTGAAACCTTCCTTCATCTTGCACGGGCCTAGTTGGGATTCAGAACAACGATCCGAAGTTGCCGATAGTCTCCATTGCAGTTCCTTTTGTTGGTTTCACCAATTTTATATTAAGGATCCTAAAAGGTAACCCCAAACAGGAACTACAATGGAGACTATAGGTAGGCCCCATTTAACATACCAAAAAAACTCTTCCTCAGGCAGGGCCAGTGGTGGATCGCACCCAGTGCTGCCTCTTTCAGGTGGGCAGGAGAGGAGAGTTTGCGTATGGGCGTATACACTTGTGCAGTCGTATGTGCATAGAATGCAAAGGCACACCCATGTAAATGCCTTATAAACTTATACAGCATCACACTTCCAGCGCAAGTATTGTGACTAGACCCCTCGCGGAACAGATCTAAATGGCGGGGGACAATACCTCCATCCATCCATCCCTCCGTCCGTCCGTCCATGCATCCATCAATGCATGCACGCATGCATGCATGCATGTGCGCAGGTACATATGTATGTATGTATGTATGTATGTACGTATGTATGTATGCATGTAGGCATGTACGTATGTGTGATTATGCATGTACGTATGTACGTATGTATATATAAGTGCATGTATGCATGTATGTATGTACGTAGGTATGTTCGTACATTCGTTTGTTTACCTCTGTGTTCATCCATTTCTATGTTTACGTACAGGTCTTTGTGTGCATTAGTTACACGTTTCAGTCTTCACGCCTTGTTTAGTTGTCAGCTGAGGTGTTCATGTACATACTACCCTATCTACCTACATGTTTCAAAGGTGATTGATTTATGCATTAATTTATGTACGTAGTTTGTGTGTTTTCTGTATTGCCGACTTAATGTGACATGTATTCATTCACGGATAGACTTGAAATACCCCTGGATTCGCGCGCACATTTAAAAAGGGGCCTGAACACACAGAAAAGTCTTCCGCCTCACTGCACCTGCACGTACACAAACACCTTGAACGGCACATGAGTTTGCTAAGAAGTGCAGAAAGTGCCTGAAAGGTCTATCCCAGACCAAAAACCAAAACCCCCCCCGTTCGAAGCCTTTAATAAAGAACCCTTCCCGAACCTTACCGTCAGGTGCTCGAGGACTTGGCCCCAGTGGCTGCGAACCTCAAGGACGCACCCAGGCTTCGCATCGTGGGCGACGGCACGCCCTGCGCTCCTCGCCCGAAGAGCCCCTATAGTCTTTTTAAGGGTCCCTTTAAAGAGATCTATAAGGGCTCCCATAAGGCATCTTTTGGGTTTAGGGTTTAGGGTATAGTAGCTATAGTCTCCATTGTAGTTCCTTTTGTTGGTTTAACCAAATATATAGTTCGGATCTTATAAGGTAACCCCAAAAAACTACAACGGAGACTATAGGTGTATTTGAAGCGTTGTACTGTGGTGTATTTATGTTAGTTTCATGTGTTGGATTTGTTGATGTGTTTATTGTTTGGCTGCATTCGTTCGATTTTTTCGTATTGATTGGGGAGGGGGCTTGAAGGGAATGTTAAAATATCTGCCCGTGGATTATTGGGCTAAAGTTTCAATGTAATCTAGCACTCTGCCGCGGAATTTTGAGCGTAATGCTCAACTTCTCGGATGGTTTCAGAAGTCACCTAAATTAACGGCTTGAGTAACTACCGATTATTCCTTTGGGTTCCCTAGTACCTTTGCTATAGTATCGAAATCCCGGAAGTCTCGTCTGATAAGGGCATGAAGTAGTTGCCAGAAGTTTGGAACACCAGTATCCTCATGCCCTTACGGTAAAAGTATCGGAGCTCCCGGCACTATCTATCGTAAACGCATCTCAGGTTGGCAGACACTCCAAAGAAACCCTCAATTAAGGAATATTTAGGGTTTAGGTTTAGGTATGTTCCCTCATCAAGGCGTTTTTCTTAAGGTAAAAGGAGGGACCCTTACTAAGGACCCCTAGGTAGTATATACCCTTAATATAGCTATTGTATACCCATTATATAGCCCATTATAGGGTAGGGGTCCCCATTAAGGGTCCCTCCTTTTCCCCTTCGAGTTTGGGGGTCTGTTGAGTGCATTGGGTTCCGAGGTCTCCTGCGTTGGGGCATTGGCGCAGCTGCGGCAGCATTTGCCGGACTCCTGTTGCCTTAGGGATCTAAGGACTCATATATTGAGGCTTTTGGGCCCAAAGACCATACTATATAAGGCTTTTGGGCTATTTTGATCCCTCGGGTTGAACAAAGGTGAGGAAGCAGGGAGGCAGGCAGTCAGTGGTACAGTCTACCTGTAGGCTCATCCCCTACCCCTTTTTTAGGGTATCTACTTTTCGATATAACAGATCCTAACCATAAGACTAGGTATCCCAAAACAGGGGTAGGCTATGAGCCTCTAGACGTCCAAACCCTGAAGCCCCTGAGCAACATGAGCCTTCCCCGCTTGGACCCGACCGTATCCCAAGCTTCCTCGAGCAGTGGACTTGCGCATGCGACGGTGTGGCAGTTCAATCGTTCCGGTTCTACAATGGAAGTTAAACTGGCTTAGGCAATACATGTTGCGTTTTTGGCCAGAGTGGCGCTTATGGAGTGCAGTATCATGTTACATATATATATATATACACACACATGTATGTGTATGTTGCTGTGTTATTCTGCTCTTCTGCTTCTGTGTGTATATCTGCATATACATATGTGTGTGTGTGTGTGTGTCTGTGTCTGAAACCCTAGACCATATTCACCCTCAGCCCTAAAACCTACACCCTGAAACCCTAACACAGTAAACTCTACATTGTCTACATCATTCCTAAGCTGGGTTGTCCCTTGGGATATTTTTTAATTTTCGCCTACTATGTCGTAGAGAACCATAATAGTAAACAGTTTTCAAAGGGCTTAACGGACAACTCAGCAAAAAGAAGAAGAGCTATCCTGAAGACCCACAACCAATCCGAAGGATCTGGAGATCGAAGTCACCTTGAAGCCGCGCTTGAGACAAGAGGGTTAGGGCTTTCCTTACGGTTTGAGGCTTACTTGGAGGCCCAGGGGACTTAGTAAGTGGGTTAGAAGTAGGGTGATACGTACCCTAAATAGAGTTACCCCAATTATAACCCTACTTATAACCTACTTACTAAGTCTCCTGGGCCTCTAAGTAGGGTTTAGGGTTTACCGGTTTAGAGTTTAGGGTTCAGGGTTTAGGGCTTAGCCTACCAGTGCTCCCATACTCTAGAAGCCTAAACTTAATACTTACCGAGATTAGTCCTTAGGGCTCCTTAGTATAACTCTATTTTATGCAGGAGCCGCAAACCCTACTTTAATTATTCAGGCCCCTACCCTAAACCCTAAACCCTAAACCAGAGCTGGGGCAGAGAATTGCGGCTCAGGTATGGACGCGTAGGCATTCAGACATAGGCCGGTCGTGGTAATCCCTGGGCCCTGAAAGCGCTAAACCCCAAAACGGAGCCGAGTTTCACCACAGGCGCGGCGACAGAAGAGGACGAAAAGAGACGTGCTGGTAAGGCCACAAAGCCCTGAACTATAGAGCCAATTTACACAAACCCGGACTGTGCTGCTAATAATAGTCACAGTAATAATGACTGATAATATCCATAATAATGGTAGTAGTAATAACAATACTAGTAATAGATAGTAATCATAATTGTGGTAGAAATAACAATAAGTTAATAACAAAGGAAATTCAATAGTATTCATGATAGTCATAGTAACAATAAAAACAATGATTTCATAGACTTTGCGATTCGCTGCTCCGTGCGGCTTATGGGGCTACGAGGGTCGGAAAAGCCCCAAAGCATGTGAAGCCCTCGAACAGGGAACCCTTTTGCGCTTCAGAGGGTGCATGGTTTGGAGTTTAGGATTTAGGGTTTTAGTTTAGTTAGGGTTGAGGGTTTAGGGTTTTAGTTTAGGGTTGAGGGTTGAGGGTGCCAAATCCTAAGCCTGTAGCCAGGATTTAGGGTTAATCATGACACCTGGCTAACTCGTGACTAAATAGCAATGCCATTCCGTTGGTTCCCTATACATTCTGATGGTATCTGATGGTATCCCAACATCCTGTTCTAATTCTAAACCCTGAACCCTAAACCCTAACTAAAACCCTAAAACCCCGAACCCTAAACCTTAAAGCCATAAATCAGATTAGTATCTGTCAGGTGCTTATATTGTGGTTCTGAGCTGTTTAGCTTCCGGCCAACGCTCGAAATTGCATAGCGACAGATTGATTTTCCTGTTTGTAACTTCGGGGGTGTGACGGTCTAGGGTCTAGACTTTAGGGTCGTGGGGTTTAGGATTTAGGGCTTAGCGGAAGTAGGGTTTTCAAGCAAGAAATGAGGATATACGTAAATTTAGGACTTGAAGTGGATATGACTTCACCGAGAGCTTGGCAAGGCCTCTTGAAAGGTAGCTTTGTCATCGCGAAGTCCCAGACTTTCTGGCCATTATATAGTACAGAATGTCTAGTGTAGAGTTTTAGCTTGATGAGCAGACAGTGCGAAGAAGCTCGAACTTGGATGCCGATACCCTCTGTTGTTTGAGCCCTTTTCTCTAGATATCCGATGCCCTAAACCCCCAAACCCTATACCCCATCATATCCTATACCCTACACTACACCCTACTAAACCCTGTAATCACCCTAGATACCTTGAGCCTCATCCACCCCAAGACCGGGTCCCCCGGAACGTAGCCCCAAGGGTCCAAAAGACCTTATAATTGGGTGCCCAGCAGTACCCTTATTCCTTTTTTGTAGTCCTAGGTTCCTTATAAAGTTACCCAATACCAAACAGAGAGGCCTGTTTATTCTTAGGTTACTGGGTATCCTAGATAATTGGGTGCTCGGTTTTGGGATAGTAGTTATGTAGGCTAGGATTTTGGAGAGTATATGATTATTAGGTACTTGGACCCGTAGGGTAGGAACCCATTCAGAAGCCTAGGGTCCTATTCTTATGGGTCCAAAACCCAGCTTTCTCAACTTTTCGTGCTCTTATCAGGTAGTCTTATTCTGAAAGCTTGAACCTTTGGGCCTTGGGTTTTTGGGGAAGTAAGTATTTAGGGTTCTTTATATCATAGGACCACGGTTTCTTAATCGGGTTCCTACATTGCTCTAAACCCTAACCCCTAAACCCTAAACCCCTAAACCCCTAAACCCCAACCCCCTGAACCCTAAAACCCTAAACCCTAAACCTAAACCCCTAAACCCCAAACCCAAAGCTCCTAAAACCCTGAACCCCTAAACTCCTGTCAGCCCTAATCCCTATACCCTGGGCTGCACGCGTCTTCAAACCTCTATAGACTCTAAATGATGAACCCTAAACCCTTTTAAACCTTTAAACCCTAAACCCTATAAGCCCTAAACCCCTAAACCCTAAAACCCCACGCTGTTGGGATCTTCGAGGCCCCGCGCCCACCGAAGAGACCGCCAGCGCCGGGCTCCCAGCTCTCACGTACTCGTTTTATAGGGCTCTTTTAAGAGATCTATAGGGTTCCTTTAAGGGAGCTAGAGGGCTCCTTTAAGTGTTCCTGTAAGGGATCTACAGGGCTCCTTTATATAAGGGATTTATAGGGCTCTTTTAAGGGATCTATAGGGTTCCTTAAAGGGATGTATGGGGCTCCTTTCGGGATCTATAGGGCTGTAGGGCTCCTTTAAGGGAGCTAGAGGGTTCCTTCAAGGGAGCTAGAGGGTTCCTTTAAGGGATCTATAGGGTTCCTTTAAGGGATCTATAGGAAGGAATACCTCGGGTGTAACTCGAGTCTTTGGGTTTAGGGTTCTGGGGTTTAGGGCTTAGCGTTTAGGGCTTTGGGGGTTTAAGGTGTAGGAGTTTCGGGTTAGGGTTTTGGGGTTTAGGGTTTGGGGTTTTAGGGTTTAGGGTTCAGGGGGAGTCTCGAAGCTGCTGTAGTAAGGTCTAGGGTTGAAGGTTATAGGGCTTAGTTTATTAAGGGTCCAGGGTGGTGAGGGTTTTCGAGTCTTGGGTCCACGGTTTAGGGTTTAGGGCACCCCTCACCCGCAATCCCCAAGCCCTATAAACCCGCTCCACATCTAAACCCTAACCCCCCGTAATCACTATAACTCCTGCAACCCCTAAAGCCTAAACACCCACCCCCAATACAAGACCATAGCACAGCTGCTTAGATAATTACCTATAGTATGGTGGGGGTTCTTCTAATAAATATAGCATAATGGGCCCCAAAACCCTGTTCTAATTATTAAGGCCCCCTATAATACAGTACCCTACTATAGATCCCTTGTAGACTTCTTCAAGGTAACCTTTAAAGGAACCCCTCTTCTGATTATGAAGGCACCTATATTGAACCCCCTGAGGCGAGTGGAGCTCCTGCAGCTGCGCAACCGTCGGCCTCCTACAAACTTCCCAGTTAGGTTTGGGTACTATATACTATATATACTATATATATATATATATATATACTAGTTTAGGTTTTGTTTCCATGTACCGTCACGGGTATTTAAGCTTGTTGGGGGCCGGGTCCAGGTCCAGCTACACGACAACATAATGCAATACCCACATGGGGAATATCCCATAACCAGCATATTTCAACGTACTTAACCTCAACCCTAAAGCCTGCAAACCCCAAACCCTAGATTAACAAGTCCTGCAGGATTTCGTGCATCAGTCGAGTGAGTCTTTGCTTCAGGGACATTAGACCCTGGCCCCGGGCACGGCCTTTGCTGGGGCTATCGGGTCTCTGGTTTATAGAAATCAGGGTACTAGGATGCCCAGTAGTGCCCTTATTCCTTTTTTGTAGTCCTAGGTTCCTTATAAAGTTACCCAATACCAAAAAGAGAGGCCTTTTTATTCTTATTCTTAGGTTACTAGGTATTCTAGGAAATCAGGGTATCTGCACAGGCGATGAGGCATGATGACGCACATTTGCCAGGGCCAGGGATCTAGGGTTTATGGCTTGGGGTTTAGCAGCCGTTGCCAAAGGATCCTTTAAAACCCAATCTGGGGTCCACTTAGACAACCCAGAATGGTGGTTCCTAACATAGAAGCCCTCCTTTCTACTTTTTCGGTACCTTGGGCCCTGTGGGGGACAGGTGTGCTTTGAGTGCGGGATCGGGCTTTACAGCGTCGGTTGAATGAGCTGAAAAGAAGCCTTTGAGCGTTTTGGGTTTAGGGTTATTAGGGTTTGGGGACTCGATTTAGGATTTAGGGTTTAGGGCTTGGGATGCGGATTTAGGGTTTAGGGTTTGGGATTCGGGCTAAGGTGATCCCTAAAGCCAAAAGCCCCAATCGCAGCAAGAAGCGGTTTCGTCAAGGTCGGATGCTTCAGCCGGCTACCCAGCCAGCTGAAGCTAGCCCCTTGCCAGCATTCGGTGCGGTTGACATCACGTCTCACTTTATCCAGAATAGCCTTGTATAGAAACGTTTTTCGAGGCCGACAAAGCCTTAGCATATGAGTCGGCGAAGTCTTAGCATGCACATGTCTACCTTTCCGCGACCCCTAAACGCCTAAATCCTGAACTGTCGACAGACCTGTCTCAAGTTTACCTTGGGTACTGCCCCCACTCAGTAACAGTTGGATAGTATTCATAATATAGATATATTAGGCCCTTAGTGGCAGCCCTACTGTTGATGATATAAATCTTGCATTGCCTTCAGGACCCTAAACTATGGGAATTATGGTATATTCCTTACTATATGGGTGATGCAGGATTTATATCATCAACAGTATTATAGACTGTTGCTGTTTGGGGGCCGTACCCTAAGCCCAAAACCCTAAGCCCAAAACCCTAAACCCTAAAATCCTAAACCCTAAACCCGAAAAACCCTAAACCCTAAACCCTAAAACCCTAAACCCAAAGTTTACCACAGGTTTGCCTTCAGCTGGGAACTTCGACCTTCTCGTAGCCTGCCAAGCTTGGGGCCGGGTTTTCGTATCCTGCCTGTAGTCTTTTCGGGTCCCTTGAAAGGGATCTATAAGGGCTCCTATAGGGGATCTTTAGGGTTTAGGGAATAGTACCTATAGTCTCCATTGTAG